CTGTGTCTGGTGGGTGGTGTGGGGCTGTCTGGGGTGGGGCTAGGTGTTGGGGGGTGCTCTCATACAGGGGTGGCTGTGTCTCTGGGCAGCGGTTTGTTTGGGGGTAGGGCTGTCTCAGCTCCTGTGCTCTGCCCCCCGGGGGGGGGGTGTCTGTGGTGTGGGGCTGCTCTCACACTGCACCCCAGAGATGGCTGCATTTCAGGGTGTGGCTGAAACTCTCCATAGCCGGGGCTGACATGCCCAGCATATGGATGGAGGGATGGGGCTACTGGCTGAGTTGGGGATTTCAGGCCGCCCGGGGTGAGCCCAGAGTGGGGATGACGGGGAAGGTTAGCCATGGAGCAGGCTCCCACTGCCACGGAAGCTGCATGGAGAATCCTCCATCCAAGGCAGGGGGAGGCAATTGCTCTCGGACCTGTAAGACCCAGGGCCCGGTCTCCTGAGCCAGACTGGGTTAAATATAATCCTGGCCTGGCTTCCTACCCCCCCCCCCACCCCCGGCTGTGAGAGAGAGAACAGCACGGTTTGCCTATCGCACCACTCCAGCCGGCTTCTACCCGGGCAAAGAGGAAACCTCAGAGCAGCGGCTGCAGGAATTGCTTCTATTTTTAAACAGGTCTCTCCCCCCTCCCGATACTGTGCACTTAGCCATTGGCCAGCTGCAATGCGTCGAGCAGCCAGGCCCTGTGGGCAGGACACCTGCACTCTATTCCCAGGTCTGCCGCTGACCTTGGGCAAGTCCCTTCACCTCTCTGAGCCCCTCTTTCCCCTCTCACCTTCTGTCTTATCTAGAGAGATTTTGAGCTGGGGTGGGGGGCAGATCCAGTGCAGTGTGGCCCTCATCACACTGGGGACTTCTCCTGCTAGGCACTAGTGTAGTAATACGGTGCTTGTGCCTGAGGGAAACTGAGGCACAGAGCAGGGCCATGACTTGCCCTAGATCATGCAGCGGGCCCATGGCAGAGCCAGGAACAGACCCTAGGAGTGCTGATTGCTAGGCACCTGCTCTAACTGGTGGCCACGCTGCAGCACTCCTTCCTCGGGGCCAGCCAAATGCAGGGCCCCGCTGGCAGCGAGCACTCGGACCCGAAATGGACAGTGATTAGGACCAGTCTAGCCCCAGCGCTCAGGGTGGCCCAGGATGGAGCTAGGGGGTCAAGAGACCTGGGCTCTACTCCCGGCTGGGTGACTTGGCAAGTCGTTGCCCCTCTCCGTCCCTAGGGCGAGGTCTGGGGCACCGGGGGGCCCTAGGAACTGCTGTAATCCACCAACTGACAGGCTGGGCCAGGGGTGATGAGCGCGGGAACAAGCTGTGGGTGCTGAGGGTGCCCCACTCATGCCATGCAATGAGCTGCAGAGCTGTCCTGCTGCCACGCCCCAAGCTCACCTGCACTGGCCCCAGCACAGCAGCTGCCCGTGCTGGGTGCAAGGGTGGAAACAACACCCAGGTCCAGCCTAGCTTCCACTTTTGGATTTGCTGCATTAAGGGACCCCCTCCCATGTTCGCCAGGGGTGGCATGGGGGCCAGCGCTGGGAAATGCTGGCTTCCCTTCCAAGGAGGGAAGGGCAAGGAAGGGTAGAAAAACGGCCAGTAAATCCAGTCTAGTACATGCGCAGCCTAAGCCAGGGTACATGAGACAGAGGAGACAGCAGGTGGGCACAACGCCCCAGGACACCCCGGTCAGCAGGATAGCCAGCAGCCCCGGCACACCGTCTGCCTGTCCCTGGGCGAGCCTCAGGCGTCCCGGCCTCAGGGGGTGCTAAGGCGGCCGTAGAAGGTGTCACAGAGTCCCTGGGCGATGCTCTGGAACTGCTCTCCACAAAGCCAGTCAGGACTTTGGGGAACCTCCTCTCCCTTGGAGCAGACTGTCTTCAGGGCAAGAAGCTCACACGGTTTCACCTTCCTGGGTCTGACCTTGGAGCATTCAGCATATGCCCCTCTGTGCGCTTCCCACAGCGAGTCCGCCCAGGCGGGGTCCTGGGGAAGGCAGAGGGTCCTGCACCTCCACTTTGCAGTCAGACGTGACTCTCAGCCAGCCAGTAAAACAGAGGTTTATTAGATGACAGGAACACGGTCTAAAACAGAGCTTGTAGGTACAGAGAACAGGACCCCTCAGCTGGGTCCATTCTAGGGCCCAGCGAGCCAGACAACCCCGTCTACACTCACTTCCCATCCCCAGCCAGCTCCCAACTGAAAACCCCCTCCAGCCCCTTGTCTCTTTCCCGGGCCAGAAGGTCACCTGATCTCTTTGTTCACCTTTAGCTATTCCCTTGCAGGGGGAAGGGCCCCAGCCCTTTGTTGCCAGGAGACAGAGTGTCAGCCATTTATGCACACTGGAGACTTAAGAAATGCATAGGGGAAACTGAGGCACCCACACAGTATTCAGAGGAAACATTAAGAACAGTCCCACTCCGTCACAGGAGGACACTGGGTTTGATGGGGAGCTCCCGCACACAGAGGGGGCAGGATGGTACTTGTTGGGAAATGTGGCAAATGGGCATTTGCCACTAGCGGGGCAGGAGCAGGGGCCGATGGCTGGACAGGAGCCAATGGCAGGGCAGGAGCGGGCAGGAGCAGGGGCCAATGGCAGGGTAAGGACCGGAAAAGCCTTGAGAATGAGGCTGTCACTTGGGCTTGATGGGGTGGCACAGGGGGAGCCCATGAGCACCTGGCAGCTGCCCCCAGGGCTGGAGTCAGTACTGACAATTTCTAGCCCATGAAAGCTTATGCCCAAATACATTTGTTAGTCTCTAAGGTGCCACAAGGACTCCATTTTTTCCCTCTCTTCCCCGCTGCCTAAAGAGGGGCCTGGCCCACACAGCTGGCCTTGCTCTATGCTCAGCCAGACACTAGCATGTGTTTTGCATTAGCACATGACACAGAGAAAACAACAGGACACAAGCTGGGCATTGAAAAGGGAATTTGAGCATCACAGTCCAGGCACAGACTAAGGCAGTGGGGAAGGCCAGTGCCAGCCTCCGTCATGCAACCTACAAGCACATCATAGAAAACAAACAAGGGTCTTGGTTTTAGTTCCCGGGGTGGTGGTGGTGGGGCGGGGGGGAGAACCTTTGGCTGCAAATTCCCCCCAGGCTTTGCCACTCATAGCAGGGCACTGGCAGGAACTCGCTGTTAATAAAAGCAGGTGAGAGCTAGGTCATGCTGCTTCAGCAGCTTGCCAGGGCAGCTTGAGTTGCACCAGGGAGATGTAAGCCCCTGCCCATGGAGTCGGCTTCGGCTGTCTGCGGCAGAGGCAGCCAGTGTGTAAAATGCCACCCACCTGCACATGCCCAGGGTCCTGCGTACAGTGGTCAAGAGCAGCAGGGAGGAGACAGGGATGCACACGAAGAACGGGTGCATGGGAAGGTACAGGCCAGGTAGCATTGGCTTGTGGTGTACTGGCACCATGGGAAGGCTGCAGGCAGCGAAGAGGAGACGGGTGAGAAAGCTGTGGGAAATGAACTCTCTGGGACGGTCGTGTTGATGTGGCTGTGAAATCAGGGCGGTTTGCTGAATCCCAGCTGGAGTCCCTCACCAATACCCCCTGGAGAATGGCTTTTAAATGAGAAGCTATGAACCCCCCCCCCCCCAAGCCATTACTAATTCATTTCACCAGGGTTCGCAGCCCGGGTGCTCCACACGCAGGTTAAGATGGTGCCATTGTGGCAGCACCCACAGCCAAAAGCTCACATAGGCACACTACACCCAGCCTGCAGCTCCCCTGGCCGAGATGCTGCGTGGCCCCCCTGGAACCCTCCAAGGCCTTCTCATGCACCATTAGTCTGGGCCGAGTGCCCAAGCCACAAGCAGCACATTCTTCACCCAAGCCTATTCTTGGGTCAGCCTCCCGAGGCGGGCGTGCATCCGTCCCACACAGGAAGAAGCACGGGCCCGAGGCCGTGACAGCGAAGAGACTTATGGTGGAGATCTCATCATCCAACGAACAGGGAGGGGGAGGAGGCTAGTCTGAGCGGCTCTTCTCCAAGGCTGCAGGGAGCTAGAAGTGGAACAGTCCCCCTTCAGGAGCGTTTCGTGCAAATGGCAGCACTTCATTCCCCTTCCCAAATCTCTGCCACCAGGACACCCTGCTGGAAACCTGGCTGCTCCTGGGGAACACGCTTAGCATGGGACTAGCAGCAACTGTGAGAGGCTGCGGGCCACCCTAGCACTGCAGGGCCTGACACAGCACTTCTCAGCCACAAAGCATGGCGGAGAAAAGTGGAAGGGGACGGCTCTGCTCCCAGAGAGAACCAGCAGCCATGAGGAGAGAGGGGTGGAGGAATGGACAGTCCTGGGGCAGGAAAAAAGCTGCATTAAGTAGTACCTGGTTGTGGGTGAGAGCAACACTCCTCCCCAGTGCTGCTACCTGGAAGGAAGCTGCAGTGTCTCTTCAGTGGTCATTTCCAACCATTTCTCCTGGACTTCCTGCACATTGCTCCTTTCACGGCAATGGGCAACTCTTCACCCCCTAGGGCCATCAACTCAGCGTGTAGGACAGCCGGCAAGCATTGTCTGAGCACAGGTTTTCAACCTCTCGCATTTGTGGACGCCTAAAAATTTGACGAAGTGCAGATCCCTTTGGAAATCTTAGACAGTCTGTGGACCCCAGGTTAAAAACCACTGGTCTAGAGACTCTAGAAATTCCCTGAAAGAATGGGCAGATAAAGCCTGAGGGTGTGAGATAAGCAATGGACCTTGGAAACCGTGGCCCCTGATTTGAGGAAGATGAGAGGAACGATTGCTCACAGCCAAGGTGATCTGGAAATCATGGCCTTGCAGGTGCCATGCAACCGTGCCACTCCCAAACCACCCTTGTGAACTAGATAAAGGAAATCACACTTATCTGCACCTTCTTCCACCCCGCCCCCTCTGGATCTGGTGCCCACTGGAGGCTAGTTACACTCTGAAGCTGTGGCAGGTACTGAATGCAAGTGGGAACGTGTTGGAAGAGCTCTCGCCCCTTCAGACAGACTGCTTGCATGGTCACCTGCTCATCGAGATGGAAATCCCTTGTCATCAACTGAATGCAGTCAGATGCCGTGGGGAAGGGCCCTTCCCAAATGATTTGAAAGGTTGCCCACTGAAAGCAACATCTGTGGCTAAGAAATGATCCTCTGCACACTAGGCACAAAGATGATGTGAAAGGCCCAGGGTTGTGTAGGATCATGGTAAATTTCTACTGAAATTGGGGCTGTGATAAAGGTCTGGAACTGCAGGACTCCCTTCACACAGAAAGCGTGTTACGGACTAAGGCCAAGCCAGCGGGCCTCATTCCTTGCCCAGCTGCTGAATACATCAGCCACAGCTGCCCATGTTCCAGAGTGGGGGAAGGACTGAACATGTTCATTTTGAAGCCTGATCCGGATTAGATATTTCGGATACACTAGGACCAGTGGGAAGTTAGCGATGGCCCAGTGTAGCAGGAATCAAAAACCAAGTACATTTCTCCAAACAAGCAACCCTTTAGAGGAATTTCCATCTTTCTCAACTGCATTTGGCCACATTAAAAATTGGGTATCTGAGCTCCATGCTCTCATCTGAGTCCGAGTCTGGGCACTGAACTAACCATGAGAGCTTGAAGACAGCACGAAGCAGTGACCTGACTGATTCTCCCTCCCCAGAGGAGGGAACCTAGGACTTTCATTTGAAGCCTTCCATAAGCTTCCAGCACCTAATGGCTGTAATTTAAAGCCAGCCCGGCCTGGTGGAGGATGCAACCGTGAGGGGCATTTTCAAAAGGAAGATCCAGTTCTCTCCTTGAAGCCCAAGGTACTAAGAAACAGGTGCTGCTGAAGGCCTAAAGAAAGCAACTTCTTTGATTAAGGAATGATCCGTTTGGGCTTTTTGTCCTCCACCTCCCCATCTCTACACACCAGAGACACACACACTGCTGGCAAGGCAGGGAACGGGTGGAAAGTAGCAGCTAAAGCTCTGGGAGGCAAGGCTCAGACCAGCAGCAGAGGTTTTTCTGCAGATGTAATTTCTACATAAATCTGGACTCTTAAGAACCCCCTCCCCCCACATGCCAAGGAGGCCAGAGACCACATTTACAAACTGTGTCCTACCACATGGTAGGAAATGCTTGCGCCCACTGAACAGCGAGCACTGGAAGACAGAGGTCTTTACATGATCCAGCAGTTCTTACTAGCAATAGTCTCAGTTCTCCTCTGTTGCAATGAACATTTAAAACAGCTGAAATTCAGACTACTGAGAATGCTAAAAGACGACCCAAATTCCACCCCCAACTTCTCCGTTTATTTAGATTAACCACCAGCTGCAAGTGCTTGTCTTGTGTTTTTGGGAAGAACTACACCATTTTCCCCACAAATCATTGGTTTATTAGAAAGTTTCTTTTCCCTCATTTTACAGCATATATATATATATATTTTATATATATATATCGTATGTGACAAAGTTAAATACAGTCTGTTTATGCTTGTTAGGTTAATTTTTAGCACTATTCTGAAAGTCAACCCCATCCCCCCACTGCAGTGTGTCGGGTGCCAGAACACGCATACTGAATCTAAAAGCTAATGACGCTCAGCATTGAAATATTAACATTAATACTGTATCTGTTAAATATTTACATCAATTAAAAAATTGAGTCCCTTTATTTTAACAGGTGATTTTTTTCAGTGCTATTTGTTCAAAATGCAAATTCTTCTCTTTTTAAATAGCGAGCAATTTCAGGGCTTCAAATCCTTTGAATTTACACCCCAGATTTCTCAGTTCTACAGTGCTCGGGGGGTATGGGGAGGAAAGGGAAGAACAGGAATGCTAGTTATGCTTGTAGCCACAGCATGCTTGTTGCTTCATCTCAGAGCAGGCCTGTCTTGGCCTGGGTCTGACAGCACAGAGCATGGAATCTGGCCATGTTTCCAATCTAATCACAAGGGAGTTACTGTGAACTGTGAGAGAGTATGGAGCCCCGCACATTTGAAAAATGCATTAAACCAGAGACTGGACTTTAACTCCGCCAAACCAAGCAGGAGAGGAGCTCCTGTTTTAGGGCTGATGCAATGGGAACAGCTATTTAGCAGAGGGACTGAACTTCCAGAGTTCGTATTCTCTAAAGTAATGGGGCTGATATGTGAACAAATCCCTTCAGAAAAAGGTCACAGGTGGGAGGAGTCTGAATGAATTAGTGATCAACCAAAAAACTTCACTCAAAATAAAAAGCCACAGTTTAAAGCTAACGGTTCTTTTATCATTGGAATATTGGACTTGTGCCTGATGAGTAGGTAGGGTGACATCTGCAAGTCAGTGGTTCAAACCCAGGAATAAACATGGGCATTTTGTTCTATATGGGACTTAGCCCAATTTCCTGACACTCCTGAATCTGCCATCAGGATCAGGTTGCTATGAAGCTGGCAGCTTAGCTCCAGATCACAAGCATGCAATATATACCTATGTTGCTTCCATCTGTACAGCATTTTACAAATCCAGCAGTCGTCACCTTCCAACGTGATACAATTCATTAGCTGTTAGAGTCATCAGTGTCTTCAATGCACCGCATTTATTCCAAATCTCACATTTTTCTTCTGCAAAATGCTAAATGAAGTTTTTTTTTTTTTTACATTTTATAGTCCATAAAAACTCCAAAAATACATGAGCTTGATAAAATATACATGCTTAGTCATTTTGTATCTAGCTGAAACGGTAAGGTTAACCTTTACAAGTGTCTTATTTCAACTACAGCAAACATATTTACACAAAAGCCACCAGAACAAGTACCACTAAAAGAACTGGCTGTAAAAAATATTATTGCAGTATACTACAAATATGTAACCTTTTTTATATGAGCTACAAAAAGCAGCATTTTTACGTTTACAGAGTTCAGTGCAAGTCTTTACATTTAAAAAAATCCTATAAATTAATAAACAAACATCAATATTACAGAGAAAAGAATACACTTTACATATTCTGGTTAATTTCTCCAGATTGTTATTGGGTTCCAGTCCTCCGTATTGCTTCAACTCAGGAAGGGATTTCTCTTTCATTCTCAATCAAATGCCTCTTTTTTACAACACTTCGGGAGATCGGAGTATGAAAGATCTCTCTCAAGAGTACAGTGGTCAAAGCCTAGACCAAAGTCACAAGCCAGCAATCTGAGAACACCTCTCTGTTTCACACAAAAGGCTTCAGCGCACAGTCCTCACCTGAGAGCAGAATGTTAACGCAGGATGGAGAAGTGCCCAGCTTTGAACAGTTAGCTCTTTTGTTCAGTAAAGCTTTAAAATTAAATTCTATTTCCACCTTCACTGCGTACGTCAGACAGTGGGGGATGTGACATCAGGTACCAAGAACTCTTCTGCAATGTCTGCTAACTGGTCACTGCCCCACCTAAACCAAGAGTGGCC